TGTGTTAACAAAAAATAATTTGTATTTGTAATTTTTATTAGTAATCAAATATTTTTTTCCGTTTATGTTTAAGGTTAAAAATACAATAATACATTAAAAAAAACTCAACACATTAAAAAATGCCTTTTTAGTAATTTTGTATTTTAATCTTGCATTCTAATCGCACCTGAATCGTATTGTCATTCACAAATATAAAATAATCACATCGCACCCAAATCACATTTCCATTCACAATTTTAACTAATCGCATCGTTTCCAAATCGGATGGTTCTCTCACACGAATCACAGTTACACCCAAAACGGAATACCATTCGGAGCTCTTATAGAATGCGGAGATACAAAAGAAACATTTTTGTCATTTGTCGCGCCATCGGTGACTTCCCAATGGGACCATACTAAAGAGTGAGGAGAGGTCGAGCTCCATATCGAGTGGATCGATGTCCCCGATTCGAGGTTTAAGCCATTTCATGTCAATTGATCCTATCCTTAATTAGTCCCTTGTGCATATGCTTAGAAATTAGAGCTACTACGATGCAGTTTAAATTTCAAACTGGTGTTATTAATCAACTCTTTTTTGTCTTCATATTTGAGTCTAAACAGTGTGCAAGTCCATGATGCATATTTTTGTAAAGATTTCATAAATGCAGTATTTTTGTAAAATGGCACTTGAAAAGTATCACTTTTTAAAATTTCTCAAACATAATCGTGGATGAGAAATAAGAATCTCTAAATACCAAACCAAAAAGCAAATGCTAAACCAGATTCTTAGTTAAGCAACTACTTGTGGTTTCCATCTTCTCCAATGGAAATACACCAAATAGTTTGTAACCACAAAATAAAAAAATCGACCAAAAAAAAAACCACAAAATAAAAAGGAAAATTAGCAAAAATAATCTAAAAAAAATATATATTTCACTAACTAACCAAATGGCCATAATCTAATGGCTCTCATTTCTCCACATCATGCTATTTTCATTAGATTACAAATATAATTTTTTTTTTTGTTATTGTTGCAAATCACCCAAATAAAAACACCTCTTAGTTATTAATATTTTCTTCAAAGTAACTTTATTTTTTCTTCATCTTCACAATGCTAATATGAAAATGGTCTTTTTGGTGAATAACCAAAAAAAAATTAAAAATTTAAAAGTTAGAAAAAATGTGGTATGTGACAAATTATAGACCAGTGAATTTAGGGTTTTGGGTTATTTTTTAAATTATAATGTTTTTTGTTGTATTTTTTGACAAATGTTTTGGGTTTTGGATTTGGGGTCCCATCTGAAAAAGTCGATTTAACTTTAAAATCACAAAATTAAAAAAAACTCGTGTTAATTATCGAGTCGAACCAAGCCAATTCGAAAACATACAAGAATCTTTTAATTAATCAATGTATCATATTATTCCCCACCGGAAAAGTAAATACAATAATGTCGGAAACTTGCGAATCTAATCGCCGCCGTCAAGCACCGTCGTTGTTCATCATCTTCTTAAACTCTTGGAAATTAACACAACCATCACCATCAACATCAACTTTACTAATCATCTTCTTACAATCCTGTACTGAACATTTCTCACCCAAATTCTTCATCACTGAATGAAGCTCTTTCGCTGAGATCCTTCCATTACCATCCAAATCATACAACTCAAACGCTTCCTTCAGATCTCTAACATCGTTATTATTGTCTCCTCCTCCTTGATTGAAGAGATTTACGAATTCGTCCATGTCGATGAATCCGTTTCCGTCTAGATCGAATTGTTTCATCATCTTTACGGTTTCTTCCGGTGATGCGGAAGGAGATAGTGCACGGATCACTTCTTTAAGCTCGTCGACGGAGATTTTGCCGTCTCCGTTCTTATCGAATCGCTGGAAAACTTTACGGATATCTTCCATCGAACCTAACCGGGTTCCGTTCTTCTTCGACATTTGATGAGAAACAGAGAGAGAGTAGAGTGCAACGGCAAGGAGTGAGTGTGGTGGAGAAGACTTGAAAGGTTTGTTATAGAATCTATAAATAAGGGAAAGCGAGAGTGACGTAACTACGCGTTTTGAAAAACAAACGCGTTGAGAGATATGCGTGAGCTGGTGAACTAGTAGGCATCTAATTATGACCTCCTTTTCTAATTAACTGTGATTTTATATTAGAGGTAAATAGGATTCCACTTGTTTTCTTTTGTCAAAAAATGGATTTCATTACCGATTAAATAGATAATATTATACTCCTTCCGTTTTTATAAAGATGAATTTTTTAAATTTTTTCACATATATTAAAAAGAATAATTAATTTTGCATTAATTTTCATAATAAACCGTTTTCAATAAAATTTAACCAATAGTGTTTCATACCTAAATTAGCTTCATAATCTAGATACACAAATCCCTTTCTAGATAAGGAAGGTTTAATTGGAGGGAGAAATATGTGCAATAGAAGTGGCTAGTCAAAGGGTGAAATCAATGTTCTCTTTTTTGGAGGCTCTTTTGTTTGGGACCTCACTCCACTCATGTCCAAGGCCAGAGAAGAACTTCTTTCATCATTGCAGTTTATGCTTCGAGATCAGAACGCAGCTAGGCACATCTATGTTATATTGTTGCCAAGACACTAGTATTCAAAAAGTTTCCTTTAGCTGTTGTATTTTCAAGTCTTGTGACACTGGATGTGTTATACGACTCACAAGTTCTCATATCCTTTACCAACTCGAAAGGAACCATGATTGAGCTTAAAAATTTGTTCTTCGAATCTCCAACTATCTTTCTCTTTTTTATCTCTTGTTTGTGTATTGCAAGAGTTTTTGCATTAGGTAATTCTACCTTGATGATTGTAAACACTAAACAATTTCTTCATATGTGGAGAGTAACTTCTTATCTTTAGAAGATGCAGTTTGTGACCAAAAAAAAGTTTTAGATACACAAATGTTGTATAAGTATTGTGGAAATAGTGTTTGAATTTATACCTGTTTTTTTTTTAAACATTTTGAATTTATACTTTAGAAACTTTTTGTATTGAAATGGAGCGATTCTTTTCGACAAAACAAAAAAAAAAGAAATGGAGCGATTCTTAGTTTTCAATCTCATCCACACACGCCAATATACCATGCCAAAGGCCAATTGGGCATAGCTTATAAATACCAACTTTATTCTTTTACATTTGTGTCGTTTTCACATTTGTCCAGCATAAAATTTGTATGGAAATAGTGACAGAGGAATATGACATTTGAAAAGCATATTATACTATTGACGAATAAAAAAGCACTTTATACCAAATTTATGTTTTTCCGTGAAATATTTGTAATTTGATTGGACACGAATCATCTTTTCGGTTGCGAAAATAAATAGTTTTTCTTTTCCATCTAAACTTCATTCATTTATACCGAACGAAAAATACAAAGTCATTAGTACATAAACATATAAAAAATGGTGATGCTAAGCTTTTACATAATCCGTTATTTTTCTTTGTTGATGCGAAAGTTGTCATTGGCTATCTTTTTCTTGTAGAAACTCGAATTCTCACTCACACTGCCATTACAAAAAAAAAAAAAATTTGAATGATAGTCATAGAGTCAGTGAAAAATGTTGATTCTGTCTTCCCACGGTTTTGATAATGGATACTCAGATAATTTGGTTTTATCTTTTCCAGAATTCATTTCATAATCCTTCATCTCCATGTATAGATCTACCCATAATTGCAGCACTTTGCCGATACGCGGATCAAAAAATCCATATGAACATTAAGTCCTAACCGTAATCCGTCGTGGTGCCAACGGTGTTGACTGAACCTTCTCCTCCATCTATGTAATCACTCTCGATTGGAAAGAACAAATGATTATTAATAAGCAATTTGGACCCTGAGGTTTCAAACCAACTTAATTGCAGTTTAACATTACACACAAAAGTCACAAAACCAGAAAATCAGAAACAAAAACAAGTCTTAAATCTCAGTCTTTTCAAAGCCAATTTCTAGACCAATCATGCAAATGTTCTTGGTTAAACTCCTAGAAACATAATAAAAACGTCATCATCATTACTTTTCCTCGATCACTTAGCCATCATAATCTTGACAAACTCATCATAGTTTATCTGACCATCTCCATCAACATCAGCTTCACGGATCATCTCTTCAACTTCCTCATCAGTTAGTTTCTCCCCAAGATTAGTCATCACATGGCGAAGCTCAGCAGCGGAGATGAAACCGTTCTGGTCTTTGTCGAAAACCCTGAAAGCTTCTTTGAGTTCTTCCTCTGAGTCAGTGTCCTTCATCTTCTTAGCCATCAGGTTCAYYAACTCYGGAAAGTCGATCGTGCCYTTWCCATCTGCATCAACCTCARTGATCATGTCTTGMAGCTCMGCCTCAGTTGGYTTCTGCCCTAGAGAACGCATAACTGTTCCCAGCTCTTTGGTTGTGATGCAACCTGTGCAACCACAATTGAGGCAGAATCACATTTTAGAACCCATGACAGATACACAAGGATGTAGCAGTTGGAACCCGTGACAAACACACAGAGAAAAGCAATGAAAGATACAAAAGCACATGAGAACCTGTTTTGGTTATCTCTCAAAGAATATATGAGAGAACAAATCTACAAAAGAATAGCCACTTTAAGCTTCAAGAAGTGTAGATCTCTGATGATAGAGAGAGTGCAGGACACACCATGACATAATTATACTTAGTTTTCACGATTCTTTAGATGGAGAGTTGATAATAACACAATAAAACTCAGATAATATCGAATTCGCCAAAAAAAAAATACAGATTCTTCATCATTTTGAAGATATACACAAATTCAAGAGCTATCGTTCAAAGCAATCAGGGAAGATACATCTCTCTGTCTCTATTGCTCACGGTTAGACAAATCAAAACTTCAGAGACATAAGAACGATTCAAAGACCAAAATGTGTGAGACGG